TGGCTTAACCCAATGAACTCATGATACTGTTGAGGAAGAACTTGCCTCAGTTTGGTCTTCGAACCATTGCCAAAACAGACCTGCAAGCACCCCAGATCCATCCAACCATAAATCTTTTATGCCTTATTATCCATGAAAGATCAGGTTGTGGGCTGGTGCTTAACTCTCGGAGTCAACAGGTGAGTGGTGGAGCTAAACGGGATGGGTCTACTCACTGCATTGCAAAAATGAACAGGATTAACCTAGGATGCATGTCTTTAGACTGCGGGTAGCCACTACGGTGCCCAGAAAGTACTTAAGTGGCTAAGGGGTGTAAATACCATGAAATGAAATTAATTCACAGCAAATAAAAAAATAAAAATAAAAATACAGCAAACACGAAAACAAGGCAAGCTAACTCTAAAATGCTGATGCGCTCATAGTAAAGTAATATGGTACCCGGCTCATAGTAAAGACATAAAGAGGCCTTTTGAAAAATTCAGTGCTAAAAAATATTCTTCACCCCAAATGTCGCATGGGAAGGAATCACATTTATGTTTTTGTAATGGATCTGACCTAGCCTGACGTGGTCCGACTCAATTCTAGTCAGAATATGAGTCTGATACTGCTCCATAGAGCTGTGATTATGGGGCGTGTTTTGAACGGACCAGGAAAAAAAAATGCCTCTGCACTCAATTGGATAGACCTACAACCAATAAGAGCAACGGAGTGCGTGACGTATCTTAAGCCAGGCATAGTTGTTGTCCACAAAAATCAAAGCGTGCAGTTTCACGCCTAGAATAAGAAGGTGAGCCTTGATCGCGTTTCTCTGTTCCTCTTTTAAAATTAATTTGCTGTCGATATCTTCTAGAACAGACCTAATAGCAGAATCTACTCACCCAAACTCTCCAGCGGCAGCCATTATTGTTGTCACCCAAGCGCGCTTTGGTCACGTGGTTGATTACGTTACTGTTGATCATCTGTCCATCATCGTATAAAGCCCGCCCTGACAATTTGATTGGATCGCCTGACAGTGGGCTTTAATACTCGCGCTACTATGGAGCAGAGCCAGACCGAACTTCCCCGACCTCAAACCTTGTGGGCGGGACTAAGTTCGGACTGGCACCCAGGCTAGATCTGACCCATAGACATTGGCCGAATCCCAAAGTGGTCCCTAAACAGTTCTCCTAACCACTAACCCGTCTTTGCTTGTTCCTGCTGTGGCTCCGTCGCATTAAGGGCCATCCCAAACATTTTAGTGGGTAGGGGGCGTGGACCGCTCAGCCCTAAATTAGTATGCATCAGTGCAGCCTCACTGTTGTTTTACAGTTGGTGTTATGGCAAACTAATAGCTTGTATTCAAATTTAAGTTCCACTGGTTTGCTACATCTTTGTCACACTGACAGAAAATCATAAGTTAGGAAAAAGAAAAAGGAAGTTACTAATTCCTAAAAGGAATGTCCTTTTTGAAACAATTTTTATATGACTATATACAATTATTTTTAAGAAAAGGGCAAATGATTGATGTCACGTAAACCTGCTCCACAGAGTTACAGCCATGGGCATAGGGTGCACTGTGTTACCAGGGCAACAACTGTTTTCCTTTTCCATTAGAGAAGAGGCTGTCCCATTCTCATTTATACCCCCAACCTTCAATCAAAGCGCCCTCCACAGCTGTGAGTGTGACTTCATTGGGACTGACACTCGATAGTGGTGGAGCATAATGGGCAGTTTGGGATTGGCCCGTAGGCTGCACTATTTAATCCATTAAAGCTGGAATACCCTCTATTTCTTTTTTGCAAAACAAGCAAAAGAATAAGTTTTGTGCCTTTATGGAGGGGAAAGATGCTTTCCTTCCAACCAAAATTTGGGTTATCAGATCACTCTGCTAGTTGCAAAACAAATCAAGAATGTGATACAGTACGTTACAGCTGCTAATGTGATGGGCAAAAAGCCAGACATGGGAGACAGGTTCTACTTGGTGATTAACCCATCAGCTTGAGGAATTGTATTGAATGTCCCTCCCTTTTCCGAACACTTTCTACAGGAGTCAATCCAGATGCATATTGCATAGAATTCAAATTATACTACGTGTATAAATCTGGCTTATGCTAGATTAATGGTATAGCACCATGTGTGTGGAGGACCTTCTTCCCCTACTGGTCAAGAGCACTTCTTTTATGCAGAGCTAGTTTGCAGCTTTTTTTTATCCTGCAATTTTCTTTTTTTCTACTTGCACAATTCTTCCTTTACATAAGTTTTGTGTGGTTGTGTTAGCATCATGTATGTATTTGCAACAGGTTTCGTACTTTACTTCATTTCCCCTTTTTTTGATTGCAGCATCTGGACTTTGCACCTTTGCAAGCGTGTGTTTGTTTTGTGTGTTTGTGTGGTAATTTATAAGTTTGCCAGTCTAATATTTGTGATAGCAGTAGTTGTTGTACCGGTAATTTGCCAGGAAATAATGTAGTTAAGAACCTTTGCGCCCATTTGCCACTGTAAAGAACAGGTTTGCATGTACAGATGGAAAAATGTAAACTCCAAGATTCTGTCAGGAATCCAGTTTGTGTGGGTTGTGTTTTTGCGTCTTTCTCTCCCTCCATCACCAGGTGGTGCCCTGTCCTCGTTGTTCCTCTCACACACCTGCGTCTGGTTTACTCATCACTGAGGACTATTTGAGCCATGGACTGTCACGACCTCGGCGCCAGAGTGTTTGCCAGTTTTGGGTACTCTAGCCAAGCTGAGTTTTGCTGAGTCTAACTTAGTCTTTGTTATTTTTCCGTTGAGCCTAACCTACTTTTTGTCTTTGCCTTTTCAGCAGGAAGCCTTCCTGCAAGCTTGATGTTTAGGCCTTCTCCCCCTGGAAGGATTGTTTGAGTCTCACACTGGGCAGGGGCTAAACCTCCACAAGTTCCGTTCAAGTCCTTCTGGATACCCAAGTGACAGTCCGCTCTATAGCTCCTCTGGGTCTAACCAAGTCTATACCTGTCCGCCCTCCAACAAGTATCAACCTCTGGAAAAAACCCACACGGACTGGATTCTGGGAGGAAAGTTTTCTCCACTTACGTGAGTCCTGTTTTCACTGTCTCTCCAAGTCATCGTTCAAAGTTCCCACGGATCCTGAACTAACCACTGATACTTCCCTTCCCTCTTCCAGTTCCGGTTCACCAGTTCACTGTGTTTCCTGAATCCAACCCCGCTGGTTTCATCAATAAACCTGTTCAAACTTTTACCCTGGTTCTCTGAGCGGTTTACTGCATGTGGGTCAGATCTCTTAAGAAAATCATGACAGATTCCAGCTGGAATTTCAAACTTCTTGTTGCAAGGCAAATTTTACTATCAGCTTGATGCACCAAAAATACCAAGTTTAGTTATTCTTCAACAAGTATCAATCACAAGAAATAAAACTTATGAATTACTATCAGAGTGCTGTGTTGCTCATCCAGTTAGGTGTTTAGATAGATAATTGATCGATGGGAGGATGACAATCTGGCGATCAACTATCTCTCAGTTTTTATGTGATGCTTTAAAAGGAGTGGCGTTCATCCAAGGCAGCTTACCGTAAACACAAAGTAGGTATACAATAGTGTGACAGAGTTATTGCAACTGAGTAACTACTTAAATACATCATGAGTAGGTTGTTCTGAAATCCAGTTTGACATCACAATAAGATGTATTGATTTTAAAAGTGAAACAAAAATGCTTAAAAATGTCTTTAACAATCATTTATACCCCTGAAACACATTGAATCCCACATCGATCATAAAATATCTATTACAAAGCCAAAATAAAATATGATTGTTTTTGTGACTTAAAGTCCTAAATTTATCTGGTACATCAGAAAAAATGCTTTAGACCATATTAATGTGTCATGAAGGAAGCAACGTGGCAGGTGGGAAAACTGTACATGAGGTGCTCTAACGAGCACAACTAAAAAGATGAGCACCAGCACTGCTGTCAGCCAACAGAAAGCAGATGGATTACGCTCAGATTCATCCACCTCTCCGGGAGCACAGCCAGGACAGAACTCCTCTGTTATCATATTACAAATTTGGACAAAACCTTTATTGCAGCCTGCTGACTCCCTACCCTTTGGCTGCGCCTCTGTTTTGCTATTTACAGCTCAGTCGGGTATTGTAAGGCAAAAATTACGCTGCCAACATTTGCCGCAGCCAGCTGGTATCACTGAGCCTTTATGAATAGGATCTTATTTGGTCTGAATGTTGTTTTCAACAACCCAAACCTGGGTGGGATGCAGTTTTTTGTGACTCAGGAAGATCCGCAGTTTTATGAGGAGACATAAAACCAAAAAGGGAAATGCAGCTGGGGATTTAACAGATGGAAAATACACAAGTACAGTGACATGTAGGAATATTTCAAGACAGAGATTAAAGTGTCTGTTTATCGAAAAATCCACAAGTTCCATTTGATCTGATAGATCTCAGAATTAGCAGGGAGGCGAGACCAGCTGAAAACCAACAGTTTGATAAATTCCTAAAAACCAAACAAAACAGACAGCAGTGAGCTCAGCAGTTAATAGAAGCCTCGGACATTTACAGAGTGCGGTTTTTGGTAGGTGATTACAGGATTTGTCCCATGAAGAATTACAAGCAACAGCCAAGAGACAAATCCCCTCCAGCAGGTAGACATCTCATTATCCATGTCTACCACAGAGAGAAGACTTCTTAAGGCTCCACACAGAGGGTTCACCGCAAGGTGCAAGCACACATAAGTCTCAAGACCAGAAAGAATTTTTGAGTATTTGCCAAGAAATCTAAAAAAAAAAAGAAAAAAAGAGTCTGAAACAGCAAACCAAGATGATATGTACATCTTCAAAGGCAACAACAGCATTTCCCTTATGATGAATAGCATATCAGGTAAAAGTTAAGTATTTAAAATGAATATACTATAATGCATGGTTTATACTGACCATGTATTATGAAAACAAAAGAAAGAAAATAAATAAACCAACCAAAATCAAACCAGAGAGGATTTGATGAAATATCAGTGTAATATCTTACCCTCGTTCCAGGAGGACCATCTCTGCCAGGGGAGCCAGGGCTTCCAGGGATACCCTAAAGAAAATACAAATATACATGTTTAAATCACCAAATCAACCAAAATTCAGATTGTATTGCAGTCTGAAGTACACAAAATGATTAAGCTTACACTGCAAGCATTTTATAACAGTAACTCAACCTATGCTGCTGCTGAGCTGGGATGCTATTAGGCAGATTTCTACCATGAAAACGTGTTTGATGTTGTTTCATATTTATGCTTTAAAGGACTTGGCATCAGACTACTGATGATTTCAACAGACATCTGAAATATAATACATGGTCGAACTAACTTCTAATGCTTCACAACAATTCATACTACCACACATTCAAGAAAAGGTGTACACAGCTAACTCTTTTGTCCCTACGATCTTTTAGCAAGGGTACATAAAATAGATTTATAGACAAAAGAACCCTCTAAGTCTCAGGACACAGCCTTTTCTACGTGCTGCTGACCCTGCTGTGCCATCTCCTGCCTCATTTTCCCTCCAACCCCCTCCTTGCAGGTCAAAGCACGCAACCAGCTCCAAAGACCAGTCATAGATTAAGTGTTGAGGTGATTTATCTCTGCACTTCAGTATTAGTAGAAAGCTCATAAAACAGGACAGCTAACACTGTTAAAGATTCTACAAATTACAGACTGGGGTTGCAGAGGACAGGCCCACAGTGATTAATAACATGCTGTTGTTCAGTTCTTGGCTGATGTACAGTCTCCCACATCGTCCGGAGAGATAGCTCTTCTTTTTTTTTCCACACACACGTCTGAATACTCCAACATGCATGGATACCAGGGGATAAACCCATACATCTGCAGGAGACACATCGACTATAAAACAATTGTTGAAATAAACTGTTTATTATAACTAAGCTGCCAACACAAAAAGCTTACTCTAACCTGGAACAATAACAAATAGAGACCACATCTTTAATCAAAATAGATATTTGGAGATGCATTCAAGTGCAATAAAGTCCTGAATTAAGTTTTAACAAGTGTTTCTAACTATTTATTTTGGTTAGTTCACAGCTGGCTTCCTTTTTAGTTTAGTACTTGGGGAAAAAAACAATAAATCATACATGTGGGCATTTCTTTACTGGGATTTTTTAACGGTAAATCAATTAGTAAAGCCATGGAAACAATAATCCTAATTGACATATTTCAGAAAATACACAACCTAAAAAAATGTAACTTGTATTTATCATATCACTTTATAGATTTCTATTTGTACCAGAGTTTTGGGAGAACTCCAGATAGTAAAGTCTATTCATTGGAGAGTTAAAACTGTTTTCCTGTGGTAGAAAAAGAAAATGCATTGATAGGTCAAAATTTTGGGGTTTTGATGTTCGCATAAAATATTACCATTGCAAGTTGTCTCACTGAAAAAAACAAGTGTGCTCAGCCTTTTTATAAATAAGGAGTACAGTGAACTATTTGTTAGAAATACAATATGTACAATAGCCAGGGGCAGATCTAGAGGGGTGTCATGGGGGCCTTAATCACCCCTAGCCAATCGTTGGCCACCCATGTAGCCACCCCAACCAGGTGATTTGTTTATTCACAACAATATACTAGAATTAATAGGACTTGGAATCTGTTATTGTGTTTTGAAGTGGAAGATTCGTCTCTGCAGTCATCCAGGAGTCTTCAATGAAATTGAAGATTAAGAACAACTGTTCAACCCCTTTAATGTATGTATTATGTAAAAATCATAAACTTCTTTATATAGCACTGATGTTAAAACTTGTGTGTAGCTTTTTAGCAAGGGCCTCTTGAAAATCTGATCTGTCTTTAATGATTTATGTGGAAATTATAGAAGTGCACATTCATTTTCCTGTTTGTTCAATCATGAATATAGATTAACTTTGAACTGGTTTCACCTATCAGTTTTCCATCATCCCTCAGTGCATATTGATCCCTACCTAGTCACCCTAGGGACCTTTCTAGAACCACCACTGAGTAAAACTAGATTTATTGTTTTTTAGATTGCTGTAACTTGTTCTGACTAGCATCTCTATCTCAGGGACTGAAAATCTATTTATCCACCTAAAATATTTCACCCCCGTCGAATCCTCTCATGGTTGTCACTGGATTTGTAAACTGAATCAACTGAATTTAACAAATGTTGCTGTATCTACTCATTTAAAAAGAAAATAGTGGAATAATTTGACCATCATTTACATGGACTTATTGATCCTTCATAAGCACTTTCTAAAAATGTGAGGTATTGATAGCAGCGGAGCTGGAAGCGCTGCAGCTGAAGGTGCATTAATATTTAGGTCTCGTTCCTGCAGGTCTAAGCTTACACACACATAAATCTGCAAGCCCACACTCCTGCTCACACAGTTTAGACTTCCTAAAATTAAGTGTTGTGTTAAAATGAGACAGTAAGACTAAAAAGGAAAACAAAAATCTGCCCTATATCTTCAAGTAGACAACCAATAAAGCCTCTACGTCTCTCTTTGCTACAAAGAAAAATAATATTATCTAATAAATTACAGAACCGCACAAGAAGAAGAGTAATAAAAGAACAAAAAAAAAAAAGAAAGATGAGAGAGACTAACACAGACCTAAACTCACACACTCGCTGTCATCCGCTGGAGCTGCTATTTTTCCAAAGTCAAACAGAAACCAAGGTGGAAAAGATGCTTGAGACAAGGTTACTCTAAATTTACTGCAGCAGGGAGTGAGAGGGAAACAGGAAGAGGTAAAAGAGACAGGGATAACTGATGCTTCATAGTGGCCATATTCTCTTTGGCCCCCTATATATTACAGAAAAGCCATAGAAGCTGCTGTATTCCCTCTCTGGTTCAAACACAATCATTCATACTCCTCACTTTAACACATTATTACTCAGCGAGAGAAAGCAGCACAGGATAGGATTTTATTAATAGTACTTCACTGTCCAACCCCCCCCCCCCCCCCCCCCCCCCCCAAAAAAAAACAAAACACCTCAGTGCTTTATATGTGCTCTGGTAGGAGACATTTTGTTCTTTCTGCATATGAGGAGCTTTTATTAGACTTTTTATTTTAAAAGAAATTAACATGACGAGCAGAAAAGCATTCCTAAGGGTAGCGCTCTGTTTGCTAGTGACACAAAAATCTAAAATATTCACAGATTTAAAAGTAAAAAAAGAGAAAACAAAAGCCAACAATCCCAAATAAAGCAGCATAGAGTCATGAGGGACATCATTATCTGCAACAGCATATCAAAAAGGTCTTGGCTGACAACTGTTTATCGCCCATCAGCATCATGTAAACACCTGCTCAGTTCAGGCGATGCATTTGTTTTTCTGACAAAAATCTTTTGGCTCCAAAGATTGGCACAGTAAAAATGAGTCATGGTTGAACAGAGAAAAAGAGAAGCATAGATAGATAAAGCATCTTGCTCTGAAGGTGTATAAATGGTCCACTTTGACTATCACTGACTGACAGATGGAAGCGATGACTGTAACAAGTCATGTTCAGTAGCCTGGAAATCTTTGTTTTAGCATTTTCTAAACAGCTTAGCTTTGCTATCTGCCTGTGACTTCTTCTTTTAGTACAAACCACTTTACACTATTAACTATTGTGGAGCTTTTAACCTCTTAAAACCCACCGGGTCGCTGGCGACACCAAAAGTTTAAAGCCCCACAGCTCTGGAACTGTTATAGCTAGATGTCTGAAATTTTCTGCATTCGTGGTTGAAATGATGTAGAACAAATATAATATAATAAATACTGCATTTTCCTCAAGAATGTCTTTATTGCTGCTGTTCAAAAAAGACCTATCATTTCCGAGAATAAAAAAAAACGTTGTCATGTTTAAACTGATGCAGCTTGGTCTGTGTTCTAGTCACCCAATTTGAATTTATATATATTCAGAAACTAGAGGGTGTTAGCTTTCAAATAATGTACTGCACATGTAATTTGGGCTTAGATTTCCTAAGTTATTTGCTTTTCCATTTGGGTATGCAAAATAGGCGAGGATTACCCAAAATGAGGTGGATGTTAAGAGGTTAACTATAACTAGAAAATTTCTAAAGAAATTTTGAGGGGGGCCACCTACTGCCGGTCTGGGTAACTGGGCCAATACGGCCCTGGCAAGTGACGTCGGGGCTCCCCAGACCAACTGCTTACGCCTTTGAGGGCTGCTGAGGGAAGGAAAACGGGCTAGGTCATGGGCAAAGAGAGCTGTGTGCCACTTGTGCTGAAATCTGGGAAATAGACGTGCACAGCGTATGATGCACAAGGGTAATATGGTTTGTCCATATTGAACCGCAGTGGGTAAAGCGCAGTTGGCGGGCTCCGCCCGCCTGCTAGGAGCCCTTGCAGCGATGAAAAAAATCACCAATGGCGGGCTTCGCCCGCCTTTTAAGAGCCATTGCAGTGATGAAATCACCAATGGCGGGCTCCGCCCGCATGCTCAGAGCCATTGCAGTGATGAAATTACAAATGGCTATGAGCAATATGCCAGAATGTATGAGTGTGTATAAGGAAGAGGCTTTTATTCTGTAGAGTCCCTGTAGTCTTATTTTGAAAGTCTATCATGGATGTGCATCAAAAGAAGGGTCATGCCCAGCAGTGATATAGAATCCATTTCCAAATGTTAAATCACTGGTTTTCCATGTTATTAGGTGAATAGCTGCTGTATTACAGAGTAAATGGGAGACTTTTATTGTGAAATTTGCTCTGGGGTGTGTTTTGAAAAGGTCACTAGAGTCTAATAAAAACAACCTGGAAGAGTTTGGGTCATAATGTTGAGCCATTTGCATCAATTATTGCATTAGTATAATCTAGAGGCTTTTATTTTGTAGGGTCCCTGGATTCTTATTTTGAAAGTCCAACAGAGTTGTGTTTAGAGAAAATGTTCAGACCCAGCAATGATAGTTGATGACTTTCCAATCGTTAAATCACTCTTTTTTCCATGTTATTAGGGCAGTAGATGAAGATGAAATGGGAGGCTTTTATTTTGAAATTTGCCTTAAGGTGTGTTTTAAACAGTCTCCTAGAGTCTATTCTCTAAAATGGGGTTGAGTTTGGGTCATAATGTTGAGCCATATAGGGCAATAAATATATGTAAAAAATATAGAGGCTTTTATTTTGTAGGGTCCCTGGAGTCTTATTTTGAAAGTCTATCAGTGTTGAGTGGCAAGGGAAGTGTCATGGACAGCAGTCATATAGTATCCATTTCCTAATGTTAAATCAGTGCTTTCACCCTCCATTAGATTAATATGTGCTGTTTAAAACAGCAGAGGTAAAATCTCT